AGTGGAATGTTAACATGTGGGAGATTCAGATGAAGGCAAAAAAATCACTTCCATTAGCAGGGGATTTTGGGGTTAGAGAAACTAAATAGAAGATCATTGACGAAAGAACCAGGAGTGAGATTAAGTTTTTTATTGTCTGAAACCAAAGGATGGCTGTAGAGTTTCAACAGTGATTTTCAAAAGAGAGTTGGATATTATTTTGAAGAGGAACTATTTACAGAGCCGTGGACAGATTACTGACCATTTGCAAGCTTGGCATTCTACTTGACCTTAAACTAAACTCCTGACACTATATCTTCATCAGCAAGACGTGCCTACATATAACCAATGTATTCTCTATTTTTTCTTATTTTGAGGTGTGAGAGAGATTTATTCAGTGCATGGTCACTTTGAACTTTTTAATGCATGCTTGCACACATGCCATATAACAGTCTATTAGCTGCTGAAACTCTTACCCATAGCTTTGTTACCTCAATCCTTTTCAAAGGGCTCCTGGTTGACCTCTCATTTTGTACCTTCCAAAAATTTGAGATCATCCCAAACTCTCCATTCCATGTTCTAAGTTAAGTTAATCCATCACCCTTTCTGCTCACTAACCTACATTTGCTCCGGATGTGGTAACACCTTCAATTTTATACCCTCCTCCTTGTTGTCAAAGACTTCACCCACCCCTCCTCCACTTCTCCACCTCCACAGCATTCCAAGATTCCTGTTCTCCAATTTTGACCTATTGCACATTCCTGACTTTCTTCACTTTTCCAATGACACTTTTACCTGCAGCAACTGTGGCAATAGTGGTAGCTCCCTCCTCAAATCTCTCCCTCTCCTATTCTTGCACCTCCTCTAAGCTGTTCCTTAAGACAATCCACTTTCATCTGTCCTAATATCTGCTTATATGGCCTGGTGTCTTTGATTATGCTCCTGTGGAGCACATTTCACTGTGTTAAGGGTGATATATAAATACAAGTTGCTGTATGAGTCGGTGATGGGACTTTGGCTGAGGCTTTCTCTCCAGTTCTCAGGATCAAATAACCTGCAGACACTCACTGCCCAGCTTGCAGGTGAGGAATAGGCCACTTGTTTGAAAAGGTACTAATAGAACTAAAGTAAATCCATTCACAGAATCAAGCTGTTTCTGTTACTGGCAGTGACAATTAGCTTCAAGTATTGATGACTAGCCAACAACGTTCAGGTAACAAATATAACAACAACAGCAGGAGAAACCAAAAGGCAAGAAAATTAATTCTTTGGTACTTAATATGGAACATTGACTTCAGTGGATATAAAGCTGCTGGCTATTTCCCCAGACAACATCTCCAAACTTTAAAAGTGAAATCTCACATAGTTCTGCCTTAATCCTTTTACTCATGAATTTATAAGTCTCCTGTTCACAGGCAGAATGTTTCAATTAATTGTTTACTTTATGAGGAACTTACTTCCTATTTTATCCACATGTTTCTCTAAAACCCATCTGGATGCAAAGAGATTTCCATGACTCTTATAATCACAGAATTGTTACAGTGCGGAAGGAGACCATTTATTATGTCCAAATAAGCAATTCACCTGGTGCCAATCAATGGCCTTCTCCTTTGCACATTCTTCCCAATCAGATACCAGTTGCAAGCTCTTATTGAAATGGAAATAACAGGTTCGTTTGTAACAGGAGCTGTGATAGGTTGTGACAACAAGTCAAATGCTAAATGTGTTTGCATAACCTTACTTTGCCATTTTAACTGAGTAGGCAAATTCCTCCATTAAAGTAGGAGACAGAGAAGTGAAACAGAAACGAATTAAGCATACACATGATTATTTGTAAAAGATCCAGGTGAATTCAGCCACAGTAATTTCTTGGCTAAAACCTTTTCTACTCTAGTAACTTTCCTTTTAACAAGTAACATAAAGCATAATTGTATTCAAGTTTCCGCTTCAGATATAATCACTGCGTTGAATTTTCATTTGGGGTCAAGAACCCGATGTGAGGGATTTTTTTGGAATCTGACCTACATATGTTATGGAAACAATTGCTGCTAATTTAAAATATCTGGTCAATTAAAGGCCAGACAGCAAGTTCACATGGATATTGCTTGTCATTTATTCCAAGCATGAAGGTTTTCCAGGTTTAAAATACAAGAGCAGGAAAGTTATGCTGAAAATGAAATACTGGCTATGCTACAATTGGAATACTGTGAGCAGTTATTATCATCACATTATAGAACGGGTATGATTGCACTAGAAAGAGGGAAGAGGAGATTTATCAGAATGTTGCCTGGATTGAAGAGTCTGAGCTATGAGAAAAGATTGGATAACCTGGGATTGTTTACTTTGTAGCATTAAAGGGTGAGAGAGGGCCTGATTGAGATGTATAAGATGATGAAGGCCATAGATAGGATAGATAGAAAGATATTTTTTCCCATTAGTAGAGAGGTCAATAACTGTGGAACATGGACTTAAGGTAAGAGCGGAGTTGAGGAGAATTTCTTTTCACTCAGAGAATGGTGAGAATCTCAAACCCATTGCCTGAAATGGTGGTTGAGTGAGAAATTCTCAAAACATTTAAGCCAGGTTTAGGTATTTATTTGTGTTTCCATAGCCTCCAGGTTTATGGGGCCAGGAGCTGGTAAATGAGATTAGTACAGTCAGAAACAAAAACTGAAAAAGCTGGAAAAGCTCAGCAGGTCTGGCAGCATCTGAGGAGAGAAATCAGAGTTAACATTTGAGATCAAGGACCCTTCCTCAGAATTGGGTTTGCTTCTGATTTACAGAATCCGCAGTTCTTTCGGTTTTTATTTTGTGCAGTCGGATCTTTGTTGAGTGGCATGGATACGAAGGGGGCCATCTGTTCTATAAATATCTGAGTCTTTCTGAGTATGGACAGAAACTGCTTCATTATGTGAGAATTTTCAAATGGAATTGGTTGCATTGCTACTGCGGATTTGTGCCAATGGAGACAGTTCAATCGAGTGTGAATTCCAGGTCAATGTAACAGGAAACCTTGTTTCAACATTGCTGTAACTATCAAAGATGTTGCGAGAGTCAAAGAAAACTGGGATCTTAAAAAAATGTCCTGTGAGGAAATGCACTATAATTTAGGAGACGTCTGTCTGATGCATTACTAACCCACTTGCATACAATTATCTACAAACTCTTATAGGATGTAATGAAATGATGATTTTTATTCTCTTCAGTAATTACTGACTAAGCTTTATAGGGAGACAGTTCATATGCAAGGCATGGTATAAATATGATCAGCCAGTTGGTAATCATATGATTAACTATAGCCACATGTAGTCTTGCCATTGTGGCAGCTCCATTGAATTCCTCAGACTTGATATTCCACAATGGAGCTTCTTTGTGTAATGTAGCGTTTAATCCACGCTATCCTTCACTGCAAATGACTGAATATTTTGATGACCCACGGACTGGGAACTTAGGCAAAAATACAAACAGATGTTTGAGGACATGTAGATGAAAATAATCTAAACTGCTCTGTGTCATTACAGGAGAGATCATTTTCAAACTGCTTCTTCTAAGCCAGATGAAAAATACCTAAAAGTTACAAAGAAATTGCAATCAATTGAATAACAGGACATCCAGCTGCAAATTTGCATTAAACAGAGCTGAGGAATATCTACATATCTTTATCTGCCAACAATCACTCGCATGTCCAAAAAGTCCCAAAGGGAAACTCAGTAAAAACATGAGAAACATCTCTATTTATGATTTGTTTATACCATACAATGGCCTGATCTTGTACAGTTAAAAGCATTGAAAAATATTGGGAATTAAGTCTGGAAAATCTCAGTGAGTTTTTTTGCTTAACATGCCGTATTTGGATGTAGTCCACCATGTTGTCAATGCAGTCAAATATATCTTTTGTGTATTTGCACTGCAGTGCAAAATCCTAAGGTTTTTCTGCGCTGTTTGTGACTTCAGCTAGGGAACTAGGCAGCTAAGCAGGCAGGAATTCATTGGATTCTTCAGGATAATTGCCTTCCTCAGGCTTCTTGATTGTAGAATGTACTGCATCTATGATTGCCTCATGTGTCATTTCCATTGTGCAAAATGAAGTACTAGGTTCCATGACTGTCTCTGCTGGAATTTCTACATCGGCCTTTTGCAGGTGAATGAAAAGAGCCTCTCTGCTGGGTTGGTGGTCTGTATCCTGCTTCCTTTGACGCCCATCACCACCTTCTATCATCTTCTTGAACATGTGTGGCCTCTAGAACAGTTGAGTGGTATTTCTGCTTCTTATCTGTCTTGATAACCTGAGAGATTAGCTGTCGTCAATAGTGGGTTTTCAGTTTCTTAATGTGGCCTTCTATTTGTCTGTGGTGTTGGGGGCAACAATGTCATCTCAATGCTTTTGAGGGTAGCAGTGGATATGTTGGTGCACTGGGCTGTTGTTAACGACTAAAATCTTCTTTTACTTCCATTGGTCCTCTTTTTGCTGAAGAGAATCCCTGCTTCAGAATATTTGATAAACTCAATAGTGGAATCTCCCATTCATTATCAATACCCACTTTTCACATTGCACCACAGTTTTCCATTTGTTGTATCAATTTCACTTTTTCTCCATTCTGCAACACTTAAATTTTTTCACAGGATTAGCCACGATTGCAGGGTTTGAATATCCTTTCACACAGAGATCTCAATATCAAATGCCAACTTGCCCAAAGCTCCATAACTTCACGCTCTAGCATGTCCTAACTCCACTCCAGCTATTCCAGAGTTACAAATCCACAACATTAGCTTATCATGGTCATCATTGGATTTGCTATTCTTCCAGTGGGAATGGCTGACAACTTCACTACTATTGGAATTTCCGGTCATCCAAATTTGACTCATTGCATTTTCATTGTAGTTTTTGTATTAAATCTATCAACTGTATTAACCTGCATCAATGTGACAAAACTAATTGTACACCAGACAGTTGTTTAAGTTTTACTGAAAACAGATTTTCATCCAATATCATTAGCAGTTCAAGTCCTCAGCTGCCTTACCTACAAGGGCTGATGCAAAGGGTTGAATGGGGTCATAAGGGCATTTCAGTGTTCCAGGCTCCAGACTTCTAAGGTCAAGCTTCAATGAAAACTCCTGTCAGTGAAGTCACAAGAAATTGGAGATCAGATCCAACCAAAAAATTGTTGTTAGTATTTTGATGTCTTGCAGCCTGTACAATATCATCATGGGGAATGTCCCAGCATGTTTTATGAGTTACCAAAAGTTTAAGGGGGAGCTTTTCAAAGATTTTCACTAATTCCAAAATAAAACATGTTAAAACAAATTTTATGACAATTAGTAAATAGATTGGAATGTAACTCCTGGGAGAAAGTCTATTAACCACATATTATTAATCACCATCAGCACCAATAGGATTACCAGCATTTAATATCTTATCAGTAAATGTATCTTCATTGCATTTCAGGTTTCTGTTTTCTGCATCCCATCACCAGTAACCCCTAGCTGACCGAGTGAGTGGGAGGAACAGGAGTGCTAAGCACTACTACATAAAACAAATCTAAGGATAGGCCTGTTTAACAGTTCCCTTTTTTTTTACTCGCACAACAAATGAATTTCAACACAGTCAATTGTTTCAAAATCACGGTGTAAATCATTGTCTATTTTATTAAATATTTTTAATGACTCAGTACAATAGGTCGTATACTTAGTTTCCCACTGAACTTTCATGTGTAAAGACAAAATAAACGTTACCATTTGTCACTCAGGTTTTACCTATTGGCAACATGTCATTCAAACTTGACAGTTCGAGGCATATAATGTGTCAAGAAGTTGAAAAGAATGAAATGCTAGCCTGTTTGGAGCCAAGCAAAAGATGATTTGATACTGTTGATGTACAGTTAGCTGCCAGTGTATGTTACTCTCACTGCTGTCTGTTCAACATGTAAGGAAGGAAGGAAGAGAAATCTATAGCTTTTATGGCTTCTGAAACAGAACATTTCTTGGATCACAACGACTGCCATCTAGGAGTACAGGAACAGGAATAACCTACTTAGCTCCTTCATCCTGTTCCAATGTTCAATTTGATCATGGCTGAACTGTACCTCAACTCGTAAATCTGCTTTTGTTCCATATGACTTGATACCCCAACCTAAGTAAAGTCTATCTCACACAACCTTGAAAATTTCAAGTGACCTGTCCTCAGCAGTCGCTACAGAGAGAGTGTTCGAGATTTTCACTAGCCTTTGGCTGAAAGCAATATGTCTGACTTTACTCATAAATTGTTTGGCTTGAATTTTAAGATTGTGCTTGTCTGTTCCAGATGCACAGCAAGGGAATTGCTTTGTTGTATCCACACCAACATATCAATTAATCATCATATATATCTTGATTAGAAATGGGAGTAAAAACTAACTTGGTGTAATCTGTCACCAATATTTAACTTGTTGAGTTTTTTTCTGGTCAATCTGTGTTTTACCTCTATATGGCCAATATGTCTTTGCTGATGGTTATGCCCATGACTAACTGTGATACTCTAGTTGGGACCTGACTAATGTGCAACTGAAACAACAATTTTTGAGTTCAATCCCAAACCCTTCAACATAAAAAAACATTTCACTTACCCTTTGAATTACTTTTGCTACCTGTGAAATTAGGTTTTAGTTTTTATGTACAATCAAGACCCAAGTCCTTATGCTTCTCTATGGTTTATAATTATTGGGAGATTACTAGAATATATAATGTTAAATTAAAATGTCTGTAATTGCCTGTTTTCTCTCTTCCTCCCAACTGAATTAATGGCATAGTAATGGCAATATTCCAAATTAAAGCCACAATTTCTGAATCTAGACATCTTTGCAGAATTATGATGAATAAATATTGCCTACTTCTTTTAATAATTTTGAATGGAGACTAATGGACCCAGGGCATTTGTGTATCTTCAGTCTCATTGTTTTCCTTTTTACTGTATTCGAGTTGTGCAAAATGTATACCTTCATTTTAATCATAGAAAGGGACTGGCAGCAGAATTTCACCAAACGAGGGAGAAAGAGTCAAATTGGAGATTGCTAATCTCAATTTCAGCACCATCTCCTCAACATCAATGTGGCAACTGGCACTTCATTTGGACGTTGTGTTTATTTTAGGACTATCTTTCTCTTTTCTTCCATTACTGATAATATCTACTCCTGTCAGGATGAATCTGTCTTTCTCTTAATCTTACAAATAGTCTGCCATGATGTACCCTGCAGAGTTTCATAGTTATCCATCTTTCTGTCTGATTTACTCAATCAACATTAATCCCTCTAATCACCATGAAAATTCAACAGTCAGGAATTGCATAATAAATTAATTATTTCATTTGTCCAGAACTGGGGAAATTGGAGATTTACTGGTGGGATGGTTTATAACCAAGTAAGCAAATTGATCGTGTACATTGAAGTAAATAAAAAAAGCTAGTACCTATTAAAGATATAGCTGCAGGATGACAGTGATTGGACCATGAATACTGAGGGGTATATAATATTCAAGAGGAATAGGAAGCTATGTAAAGATGGTGGGATAGCTCTGGTAATCAAGAATGGCATTTGTGCAATAGTTACAGCTGAGATCAGGTTGTTGAATTGATTTTGGGAGGAGATGAGGATCAATAGTGGAAAGAAGTCACTAGTGAGAGTGCTCTACAGGTCACTGAACTGTAATCATAGTGTAGGATAAAGAAGAAATATTGGGTCCTTGTGATAAAGGGATGAAAATGATCATGTTGACTTTAAGCAATATATAAAATGGAAAACACGCCTCACCCTCTCTCCCTATTTATTTCAGAATCCCCTTCCCCTCCCGCATTTCTGAAGAAGGGTCCAGACCCGAAACGTCAGCTTTCCTGCTCCTCTGATGCTGCTTGGCCTGCTGTGTTCACCCAGCTCTACACCTTGTTATCTCGGATTAGTAATAGCTTGGATGACAAGTTCATAGAATAATTTTGGGATAGTTTCTTAGAGCAGCACATTCTGGAAGCAACCAGAGAGCTGGCTATATTAATATTGATGCTGTGTATTATGACAGGAATAATTAATGACCTCAGAGTAGACACCCCTAGATAGCAGTAACCACAATATGATTGGACTTTACATCCAGTTTGAAAGTGAGAAGATTGTGTCTAAGACTAATATATTTAACTTGAAAAGTGGTGTTTAAGGTAGAATCTCTCTAGTCTTACCAGACCATAGGCTGCTCCCTCATTACAGAGAGAGAGGTCTCGTGATGGTGGTTTAACTTGAGAGCTACCACACCTCAGGTAAGGGGAGAACTTGAGTCCTTTATGGTGACCTCAGGTTCATTGTACTCACTGTTGGTATCACTTTACGTTGCAAACCAGCTAGTCAGCCAACTTGCTAAACCAGTCCCTTATTACATAAGAGTAACTATGGGAGTACAAAAGACGAGAAAGCTAAAGTGAACTGGCATACTCATTAAGGGGATAGATCAATAGGGACCTCTGACAGACATTAAATGCTTAATGTCTTCTTAAATGGCAAACATCAAAGGGGCTATTTCAGAATACTCAGATAAAGTGTATTCCTACTATGAAGAAAAATTCTAAAAGAAAGACCCATGAACTGACACTAAACATGATTAAATAAAAATGTTAGGGAAAACATCAAATTTTAAGGAAAAAACATGTAACTGAAGAATGATGAGTGGCAGGTCAGAATAAAAAGAACAGCAGGGAATAACTAATAGGTTAATCAGGAGGAAGATATTAGACTATGACAGGAAGCTGGCTACAAATGTAAAAATGGATAGCAAGAATTTTTACAGGTATTTAAAAATGGAAAAGAATATTAGAAATATAAGGCCATTTGACCACCTCAAGCCTGTCCTTCCATTCAATAAAATTAATAACAAGAAGAGTAAATTACTTTGGGCCCTCTACAAAGTGAGAATGGGACTTATTAATAGATAATCAGGAAATGGTGGATGAATGAATTTGCAGACAGATTTGGCTAGTTTGAATAAGGGGGCAAAAATCTGTTAGATGAAACATGATGTGGAAAATATTAAGTTGTTTTCTTTGGCTAGAAGAATGAAAAGAAAAAGCATTATTTATAGGAAAAATAAGAGCAAAATTCAAGGTATAGTGGTGTTGAGGCATTCTTTGCATGAGTCACAAAATGTTAACATGTAGGTACAGGTTGTAATCAAGAAGACTGATGGGATGTTATCCTTTATTACAAGAGGAAGTGAACATAAAAGTAAAGGTATTATGCTTCAGTTATACAGGGTATTGGTGAGATCATATCTTGAACAACATGTGCAGTTTTGGTTTTCTTATTTAAGGAAGGATGCAAATGCATTGGAGGAAGTTTGAAGGTTCAGAGGTGGCTTACCAGATTGATACCTGAAATGAGTGCGTTAACTTATGAGGATAGTTTGGATTGGCTGGGCTTGCTTTCATTGGAACTTAGAGAAGGTGGAATCAGAAGTAACAATATTACAGTTGAATAAATCTACAGAAGCATGAGGGAGGAGCTGACCAGAATTGACTGGGAGAGGAGCCCAGCAGGAAAGACAGTGGAACAGCAATGGCAGAAGTTTCTGAGAGTAATTCAGAAAACTGAATTCCTAGGAAAAAAAATCATATTAAAGGGAGGATGAGGCAACCATGGCTGACAAAAGAAGTCAGGGACAGCATAAAAGCAAAAGAGAAAGCATATAATGTGGCAAAGGGCAGCAGGAAGCCAGAGGATTGGAAAGCCTACAAAGACCAACAGAGGACAACGAGAAAAGAAATAAGGAGGGAGAAGATTAAATATGAGGGTAAGCTAGCCAGTAATATAAAAGAAGATTGCACGAGTTTCTTTAGACATATAAAGAACAAAAGAGAGGCAAAAGTGGACATTGGGAAAATGATGCTGGGGAAGTAGTAATGTGGAATAAAGAAATGGCTGAGAAACTGAATATGTACTTTGTGTCTGTCTTCAAGGTGGAAGACACAAGTAATAAATCAAAAATTCAAGAGAATCGGGGGGGCAGAGGTGAATATGGTGGCCATTACCAAGGAGAAGGTGCTAGAAAAACTGAAACGTTTGAAGGTAGATACATCACCTGGACCAGATGGACTACACCCCAGAGTTTGAAGGAGATAGCTGAAGAGATAGTAGAGGCGTTAGTGGTGATCTTTCAGGAATCACTGGAGTCAGGGAGGATTCCAGAGGACTGGAAATTCCCTAATGTAACTCCCTGTTTAAGAAAGGAGTAAGGCAAAAGATGGGAAATTACAGGCTGATTAGCCTGAATTGGTAAGATTTTGGAGTCCATTGTGAAGGATGAGATTTATGAATACTTGGAAGTGTATGATAAAATAGGGCAAAGACAGAATGGTTTCATTAAGGGGAGGTCATGCCTGACAAATCTGTTAGAATTCTTTGAGGAGGTAAAAAGCAGGCTAGATCATGGATGTTATCTACCTGGATGTCCAGAAGGCCTTTGATAAGGTGCCACACAGGAGGCTGCTGAGTAAGATAAGGGCCGACGGTGTTAGAGGCAAGGTGCTAGCATGGATAGAAGATTGGCTGTCTGGCAGAAAGCAGACAGTGGGGATAAAGCGGCCCTTCTCAGGATGGAAGCTGGTGACTAGCTGTGTTCCACAAGAGTCAGGGTTGGGATAGCAACTTTTCATTTTATACATTAACACTCTAGATGAAGGAACTGAGGGCATTCTGGCTAAGTTTGCAGATGATATAAAGATAGGTGGAGGGACAGGTGGTATTGAGAATATGAGATGATGCAGTAGGATTCAGACAGGTTAGGACAGTGGGCTAAGAAGTGGCAGATGGAGTACAATGTGGGAAAGTGTGAGGTCATGCACTTTGATAGGAAGAATAGAGGCATAGACTATTTTCTAAATGGGGAGAAAATTCAGAAATCTGAAGTGCAAAGGGACTCGGGAGTTCTGGTCCAGGATTCTCTTAAGGTTAACTTGCAAGTTGAGTCGGTAGTTGGGAAGGCAAATACAATTTTGTCATTTATTTTGAGACGTCTAGAATATATAAGCAGGGATGTACTCCTGAGGTGTTATAAAGCTCTGGTCAGACCATATTTAGATTATCGTGAACAATTATGGGTCCCATACCTCAGGAAGGATGTATGGGCCCTGGGGCTGGTCCAGAGCAGGTTCCAGGAATGAAAGGCTTAACATATGAGGAAAGTTTGAGGACTCTGGGTCTATACTTGATGGAGTTTAGAAGGATGAGGGGGGATTTAATTGAAACTTACAGAATACTGAATGGCCTGGATGGAGTGGATGTTGGGAAGATGTTTCCATTGGTAGGAGAGACTAGGACTCAAGGGCACAGCCTTATAGTAAAGGGAAGACCCTTTAGATGGAGAAAAGGAGAAACATCTTTAGCCAGAGAGTGGTGAATCTATTGAATTTACTGCCACAGAACACTGTGGAGGCCAGGTCATTGAGTATATTTAAGACAAAAATAGATAGGTTTTTGATTGTCAAGGGGATCAAGGGTTACAGGGAGAAAGAGGGACAATGAGGTCGAGAAACTTATCAGTCATGAATGAATGGCAGAGCAGATTCGATGGACTGAATGGCCTAATTTCTGCTCCTATGTCTTATGGTCTTGTGGTCCAAGAGTGAGGGATGAGGTTATTAAAGTGTATAAGATCCTGAATGATTTTTACATAGTGGCCATAGAAACGGTGTTTACTTTTGTGGGTGAGACTTGAACTAGGAGGCGCTATTTTAAAATTAGAGCTCACCATTTTAGGCTAAAATGAGGAGATGATTTCTTCTCTTAGAAGGTTGTATGATTCTCTGTGTCTGAAGGCAGTATAAGCATAGTCATTGAATATTTTTAAGGCAGGGCAGACTAACAAGAAACTAAAGTTATTAGGGATAGATGGGAATATGAAGTTCAAAACACAACAGATCAGTCACAATCTTATTGAATGATGGGGGAGGCTCAAGGGGTCGAATGGCCTACTTCTGCTCCTATTTCATCTGTTTATAAGCAGGAGTTATACAGGTTTTTTTGTAGGATATGGTTGTTATTCTTAGGCTAGTATTTATTCTCACTCCTAACTGCCCTTGATAATGTGGTAATGCATTATCATGGTCTTTACAGGAGTCATCAGTTTTGCTACCTTAATTGTGACATGGTCAGTAAATGGAAGACAAAATATTTACTTCACACTGAGGGAGAACCTTTCTCTGTTTAAAATCATGAAGTAGAGAACACGCAAAGGCAGATATTGAAATGTGCAATCATTGTCAGTTAATAAAACGGAAAAGTAATGTTGAAGGAACTACTTGTACAATGAAACATTTTTCCAACCACTATCCACCGTTCAGAGCTTTGTTATTTAGTACCATTATAAAGTAAATGCCCCACTATGAAATGCTGCCTTACAATTGCCAGGAAAACTTACATAGAAAAACTGACAGCTGATGATGAAATAATAGCTCATTGTGAAAACTTGTTACTGATTTTTTTCTATTCTGTTCCATGATTAAACCTGGTCTCAATAGAATCTCCATTCATTTAAAAAGCTCACACCTCGCTAAGCAGGAAACCTGGACTCGCATATTAATAAAGTTTGAACATATTCTAGCTGCAGCAACATCTGTTGACCATTATTTCCAGTAAAGTCAGGATACATTACCTCTGTAGGGGGTCCCAGATCAATATACGCACATATGGGGTGGAAAGCTCCTGTACCACATGCGTAGACATGCGTCTTATTGAAATGGTGAAGCAGACGGATGAAATTTGCACATTCTGTCTGATAATAATAGCAAGTATCATTTAGTCTCCCAGTAAAGCTGTATGGATTTCAACCACACGCAGACTTAAAAAGACACAATCAAACATTATCATCACAAGCATTACAATAACAATAAAGAGACCAACAGAGATCTGAGCTGGCACATTGCAAGTAATTCTTATCTCAGAAAGCAACTGGAGAAATTTTTTTTTACAGATAGAAGGTGGGTTCTTATTCCCTGTTTCTCCCCATTCTGCTGCTTCCTAGGTTGCACTTTCCTTTCAGTTAATGACGGGGAATTGGATTGTCTGCTTCCAGGTTAGTGCTAACGACATTACAAAATTTTGGTAACCTATGAAGCCATTGATTGAACAGTCTGTTGTTAGGGACACAATCCAAGCTAAAACAACAGGGCTAAGCATGTGATCAGATGTCCAATATGCTAAACTCAATGGAACAGCAAGCAAGTAATTTATGATAAGGGTGCTATAGCTCCAGTTAGTTACGAGCTTTGTACTGACTTCTTTGTACGGTTGAATATATTCATGGCCAAATAGGAGTTTCACAGGAGAGGGCCATTAATTTTCACCAAAGCAGTGTGGCAACATGAGATCATTCGAAGTGATCTTGACAATTAATGAGCATCTCAGAATTAACCCTTAACTAAAATGTAGAGATTTCAGGTTTCCCTTGAAAACAAAATCCTCAGAAGTTGAACACTGATATTGTTTTCTTTTGACTGTAATTTAGATCATATTTTTATAAATATAGGCTTCTGAACAATTGTAATTAACGAATGGCTAGTGGGGCATAGGAACAATCTGGTCATTTGTTGAATTCCCCTAAGAAACTGCCTTTCAACATTATGATTTTTGGGTCTCATCCAAAGCTTAAGTATCACTAGGCTCAGTCAAGTTCATCTAATTTGCAGGTAAAACACCAGCTATTACCTGGTGGTTTAGTACATGGCTTACAGCATTTGATGAGAACATTTTAGCATGCAATACAACATTAAAAAATGGTCATAGGCACTGTTTTGCTTCATATAGTAACATAATAGCAATTCTTATTCAATGCATATTAACTATGGCAGCAAATATATAAACTTGTATAATTTTTATTTTAGAAAGTTCTTGAAAATTACAAAATAATGTCATGTATTTCTTACTTCCTTTTTTCCAGTCTGTTTGCACAGTTCCACTCTCTCTTTAGCTGCAGGCCAATAAATCTGACAAGGCAAAGAAATTATATTATAGCTACAGAAAAGAAAACACAATTAGATTAAGTGTTTTCAATTTTTCTTGTTGAGGCTTTGCCCAGTTGTCAACATAGCGTGATTGCTAAACACGCTAACAGAAATTATTAATTTCTTTTGTGTAGAGGTTGGTCATTCTGACATGTTGTGATGGTAGGGAAAGTCAGTGCAGGAAGGGTAGGGGAGGGAGGGGTCAAAAGGCTGACCCATAAACCATCCAAAATTGGTGCTCAGGCCTCATCTCAATATTTCAGGCAAATTACCACTATCAGTCACACGTCCAAATGCATAGAATCCCTACAGTGTGGAAACAGGCCATTTGGCCCAACATGTCTACACCAACCCTCCGAAGAGGATCCCACCCAGACCCAACCCCCTACATTTCTCATGGCTAACACACCTAACCTACACATTCCTGAACACTATGGGCAATTTCCCTAGCCTGCACAACTTTGGATTGTGAGAAGAAACCAGAGCACCCAGTGGAGACACACGCTGACATGGGGACAATGTGCAAACCCCACATAGACAGTCACCCAAGGGTGGAATTGAACCCAGGTCCCTGGCGCTGTGAGGCAATAGTGCTGACCACTGAGCCACCGTGCCACATGTTGCCAAGATCAAGAGATTCAATTAGAAGCAAAATATGGTGGATTCCGGAAATCTGAAATGAAAACAAAAATACCATAGAGACTCAGCAGATTTGCCAGCCTCTACAGAGAGAGAAATACAGAGTTAGCATTTTGAGAGGCATGAAAACCTAAATAAAAAATCTTCCACATTCAATCTCAGGAAAATGTTGGTAGCCCATGAAGCCATTGATTGAACAGTCTGTTGTTAGGGATACAATCCAAGCAACAACAAGGGTAAGCACATGATCAGTTGAGCAACGTGCACAACTAAATGGAACAGCAAGTAAGTAATTTATGATAATGGTGCTGTAGTTCCAATTCCTTACAAGCTTTGTAATGACTTCCTTGTAGGGTTGAATATTTTCATGGCCAATAAGTGTTACGGTTTGTCTAAGAGTTTGAGATGCATACATAGAATCATATCTTGCATATCAGCACAACCATTAGAATGTTCACTTGAATGTCTAAAGCTGAACTGGAATGTGTTACACACCATTCTAATCCTGCAAATGAACAAACATTGTTTCATGTAGGGCATATTGCATAAAAAGGAGATTAACTGGGAATTTGTAAGCGCGTCTGAACTTGAAGATTTGACCTCAGTTTCCAATTCTTTCCTTCCCCACTGTTAGCTTTTTTTTAATGCATGTTGTTTATCCTTCTGTTAGCTACACATTTGGCATCAGTCTTTCTTGCTGCGATTTCAGTATTTCACTACTATAATGTTCACGGCAGGATTCTGACATTCTTTGTGGTTTCCTTCCCACAGCGTGAGCAGAGATTACTTTATGGCACATTACAAGGAAATTCTATATACCGTGAGATAGAATCAATTTGATCAACTAAATTACAGTTGAAGAAAGATCATTGAAAGGATTCGTCCTTAATATCAGTGCAACATTTCAAAACAACAGATTATGTCCTTGATCAATGAATTAGTGAAAGGGTATTCCACCTTTAACAATGAAATTCTTGGTTTATTGAATATTTTTGTCAGTGGTCGTGGGGCGGTAAGGCTGCTGACTGAACTTTGAAGCTGCTGCCACATGTCCGTGCCAGTTAAAAAAAAGCCAAGGTCAGCTCTTTTGAGTTTCTTTTGAATTCTACTCCTGCAACTGTCTATTTTCAAATCAGAGATATCTGCTATTTCATCGTCTTCTTATGGTGCTCTTCAGGCAATGTTACAAGCTAGGTCAGACTTCTGTTAAACTATGTTTATTGTTACACTGTGCAAGATAGTGAGGCTACAGATCAGCACCCTGAGCTATTCAGTGTCCAATCCCTTTGTAGAATACTAACACATGACTACTGAGGTCACAGTGACATCACAGCTACCTCAGAGGCTCATCTGCATATGCATTCAGCCTTATCTCTGCATGTGCAATTTGTAGGTTTGATATATTGTATCTACATGTGGTCCTCATGTTGATGCCATTTGTACCTTTTTAGGTTCCTTGTTCAAATTTTCCAGACTTAAAATATAAATCAGATCTTTTGCTCCAACAAAAAGTTTTCCTCTTTCTTCATCTACTAGCATTGACTGGAAACTGGAACTCTCTGTGGAACCTTGGAATGGATTACAACTGCTGTTCATCAGCAAATCTGCCAGAGAAAAAAAATATATAAATTGAAAATATTAATCACCACTAAGAATGCGGAAGAAACATTTTCAGAGACATTGATGCATTTGGAGAATGTCATGAAGGTTAAACTTACTGCCAGAGTTTTGTGAGAATAACATTCACTGGGAGAGTTAAGAGCAAATTACTGCAGATGCTGGAATCTGAACTGAAAACAAAAAATGCTAGAGATCATAGCAGGTCAGGAAGCATCCATAGAGAGAAAGCAAGCTAATGTTTCAAGTTGAATCATCATAGCTAAATTGTAGGAAGCGAATTAGTGTAATATTAAAATTTATATTATAGCCTTATTAATAACTGACATAATGTAGCAAGTGCATGGACCAATTTTTCATCATAGTATAGAGGGAACATGGATGTGGGCATGCATCGAACATTACATTTGAGAGGGCATTGCTGGAAACTAATGCTCCTGGCATGTAAAATAAATTTCAAAGATGGAGATGGGGAAGGAGGGAGTGGTAAAACCCAATTGCTTCCAACTAATGGCCTAAGCTTTTATTAGGCTGGAGTAAATGAGTAGGCAATGTTCAAAGTAAAGTTGCCAAAGCTGAACAATTGGTGAATATTCCAGGAGTCCTATAGTGAAGAGGTTAGATTCAGATCTCCCAACAGTTGTGTGGTAAGGGTAAAGTCACCATAGCCCCAGAGGGTTGTTTTCTCATTAGAGAGAGACAACTGGTGGTGGCTTAACCTCAGGCAAAGGAAGAGATTGAGAAGGAGTGTCCTTCATGGTATCCTCAGCTGTGCAGGAATTAAACCTACGCTGCTGGCACTATTCTGTATCACAAACTACCATCCAGCCAAGTGAGCTAAGGGTGGAGAAAGAGTTGATATGTTTTTAAAGAAGGCACTTGCGCAGTTAAAGCATTGTAGTGGGGAGGTGACAGCCCAGCGGTATTATTGCTGGACTGTTATTCCAGATACTCAGGTTAATGTGCTGGGGACCCAGTTTGAATCCCACTGTGGCAGATGGAGGAAGTTGAACTTACTTTTAAAAAATGTGGAATTAAGAGTCTAATGATGGCCATGAATCCATTCTTGATTGTCAGGGAAAAACCCATCTGATTGACTAACGTCCTTTAGGGAGGGAAATTGCCATCCTCCCTGGGTCTTGTCTACATGTGACTCCAGGTCCACAGCAATGTCATTGACTCTTAACTGCCCTCTGGACAATTAAGGATGGGCAATAAATGCTAGCTTAGCCAGCGATGCCCTCATCCTGTGAATGAATAATGAAAGAAAAGTGGTCAAGGACTCGGACTATGCAGCAGGTCTGTGGTTTTGCTAATCATTTATTCAGGTGGTCTCCTATTGCTGCAAAGTGGGATTGGCACAGATTCACACTTACTGTTTTGAACTTCGTATGACCTTCATTAGAAGCCAAAAGGTATAAGGAAGTAAATATATCTATGCATAGGTGTGGTGTAAACCAAGTAGTTTTCTATCAAATTTCCTTCCAAAATGCAAGTCTATTTTATGCAAATTGCAGCTTCGCTATTAAAATTACTCTTCCTAAAAAACAGGGGAAAATAGATTAGCTATGACCTTTTCAGTCACACAGCAACTTAAAAAAGTAGTCCTGCTAGCATTGTGGCCTACCTGTTTCTCCTATACTAGGTATTTGTATGTTCCAATTCAATGCGGAGAGCTGCAAACGTTTTTAAAATGTGGAAAAAGAATTGCCAGCAGATACTTTATTGTGAGATTGGGTGCAGTAATGTTCAACTAGCTATTTAGCCAGTTCCCTGAGCACTGACTATCCGAGCTCCCAAATTACTCCCTTTTCTTGTGAAAGGCAGAGTACTCTACAATGTGTGACCTTCTTATGTGGCTCACTGCCATCTTTCTTTTAACAATTCTCTTGTGAGGCCCTGAGGTTAAAGGTGTTGTAGAAATACAGGTTGTTATTGTTCTGCTTGTACTTTGCATCATTTGAAAGCTGCTACTTTGCAACTTATTACAGAATATTTATTTGAAGAGCGCTCCGACTAGGAATAAAAATATTTCTCTTTTCAGTCAAAACTTCAGTTCAAATTACAACTGTACTTTAGCTTCCCTAACTAGCTGATTAACTAGTGATAAATTTGAGACTGGATATGGAAGTGACTGGTAACAGGTTTCTTGTCAGCTTGTTTTAGCAACCATCAGATAAACTATGATCCAACTTCATATCTGCATTTCTAACTTAAATCATCTCAAACACATGGAGATTAGTCAAGAATCAAGAAACGGGAGCAGTGAAGTGTTAACAATTCTTTTCCTCCCTTTTTGATGCATTCACTTCTTTCTCATTATGGAAGCCAGCATGCTGCTGCGATTCCAAAATTTGATCTTCTTTTGTTGACTAAGTACTCATGTTAACATTGTTTAATTCCAATAACAACGTGTCTTACTCTAATCACTTTGAAATGCCTGAGTGTTGTGAAGCTGCTGCACTTGCATGGTAAATATGAACTAAACTTTCCAAAAGCTGGTAAAACACACTGATGCCAGTATTTAAATATTAATTAACTATTACCAAATAACCTTCCTGACACAAAAGATTTCATCCATTCAGGTTTTGATTGTTGTTAGCGATTTTAAGCGTGTTAACTTACAATTTTGCTTTTTGCTTTAAAAGGATATTTTCTCCTTACTCTCTATTCCTTATTCCAACCTTCCTTTCCCTGACCTTGTTCATCTTTCTGTCCAGGAACTGACAATAAATTCATACATTCTAGTTTCCACTCTACCGCTGAGCTGTCAGTTTCTTAATCCTTCAATCTGATTGGCCAACTGGATATCTGTTCATTGAGGTCACTGAGATCTTGCCTCCCCCAATGTATCATTATCAGCTCGCACATCAATGACTTGGCACTCAAACATTATAGAGGTTTATAAAATCTTGAGGGGCATAGACAAGCTGAATAGCAAAGGTCTATTCCCTCAGCTGGGGAGTTCAAAACCAGGGGACATATTTTCGAGGTGAGAGGAGAAAGACTCAAAAAGGACGTGAGGGGCAACTTTTTTACACAGAGAGTGGTTTTTGCGTGGAATGAACTGCCAGAGGAGGTGGTGAATGCAGGTACAGTTAGAAGGTTTAAAAGACATTTTGATAAGTACATGAATAGGAAAGGCTTGGAGGGATATGGCCAAACGCAGGCAGATGGGATTGGTTTAGATTGGGAACATGGTCAGCATGGACAAGTTGGACCAAAGGGTCGGATTCAATGCTGTATGACTATGACTTTATAAATAATGACAAAATGTGTTAGATGTCCTGCTACAGAAAAATATGACCTGTTATTTTAATCAAGCTGCAGCTATGAGTTTCATTTTCCTGTTTAGTATCAGCCTTGTTTAAAGCTACCTGGGAAATTTATGTTTATATGACACACATTCGACTGTAACTATAGAAATCTCATACAATTTCCTGAACAATATTTGATTGCTCAAATTTAAACTCAGATCTAAGAATCTAACAAAATCAAAATAGACAGGAAAGTAAGAGGAGACAAGGAAGACTCAGAAGGATATAGATTGCTTAAGTAAATGGGCAAAGGTCCATCAAATAATGTTGGAACATGTGAAATTATTCATTTTGGCAGAAGAATGAAGCACATTATATAAATAACGAGAAACTACAGAGCTCAGAAATGCAGGGGGATTTCGGTGTCCCAGTGAAGTATTTGCAGAAGTTTAGTATGCAGATACAGCAAGTAATTAAGAAAGCAAATAGAATAATATTGTTTATTGTGAAGGAAATTAATTATGAAAAGCAGGGAGGTTATACTTTAATTATAAAAGGCATGAAGGAGATCACATCTTGAATACTTTGTACAGTATTGTTCTCTCTATTTAAGGAGGGGTATAAATGTGTTGGAGGCAGTTCAAAGAAGGTTCACTAAATTAATACCTGAACTGGATGGGTTATCTTTAAAGGAAAAGTTGGGTATGTTAAGGTTGTATTTGGTGGAAAGGAGTAAAAGGTGACACGATTGAAATTTATAAAATTCCAAAACGTCTTAACAGGGTAAATGTGGAAAGAATTTTTCCTTTGGTGGAAGAATATAGAATATAGAAAAATAAGGGTCACCCATTTAAGCTGAAGATAAGGAGATCATTTTTCTCTTGCAGGGTTGAATCTCTTGAACTGTCTTCTTCAAAAGGCGGTGGAAGCAGAATCTTTGAATGTTTTTAAGCAGAGGTAGATAGATTCTTTATAAGAAGTGAAAGTTATCACGGGTGGGTACAAATGGGGAGTTGAGGTTAAAGTCACATCCGTCATAATCTTGTCAAAGATCCATTCCACTATATGATATGACATTTCACATTTAAACACATATCTGATTTTACAACAGCCTATTTCACAAACCAAAAGCTTTGGGAAAGAATTTGCATTGAGTATTGGTAATGTTCAGGAAACCGTTGGTTCTCTTGAAATCCATTAGGGTTTTGAATTATTCCATGAGCCAGTGATCATATAGATTGAATTGCATCACCAACCAAATAATTAAACAAGGTTCATTGTTTGAGCAATTATGAATCATAGAAGTGAAATGATCCCATTAGGCAGTGTCACTCTAACCTCTGATTACACTAATCAAATCTCTCTGCCAACAGGTCATTATACTCTGTTGGTTCTCAAATATTCAGACAAATGGCTCAACCTGTCTGCCTTTCACCATGCTCCATAGGCCTGATATTGTAACAGGGTTTTGTAACAAGGAGTTTCAAGATGCCAAAATCAGAGTGAGCATAGATCATTAACTTGACATGTAAAACACCTCAGACAAGATTTTGCATTTTGGATAGGGACCACAAAAGTGATCACTCAATACTGATTTTGCCTGGATTAGCTATTTGGTGGCCAGAGCATTTTTTCACTATCCAGTTAAGGTTAGTGAGCAGGTGGTTGAATTTGAAGAGCCAGTAAGAGCAGTTATGTGTTCAAGTCCATGCTGAGACCAGAATGAACCA